TTTGTCAGCCTGACGGTAAGGCTGTGTGCTCTCATGGCAACACTAAATACAGTAGCATGGAATTAAAACCATATGGGAAGACAGCCACTGACAAAAAACTTGAAGCAAACAAAATAATTGTAAGCATTCTCCTCTTAGCTGCAAGCGTCCAGCTGTACATTCATCACACCTCTTCTCTTCTGGTTTCCAAATTTGATTACAAAAGAAGAGTTTAAAATTTGCCCACAGCACAAAACAGAGTAAGTAAAAAAAGAGTCCAAATCATCAGCTGAGCAATCAAAACATTTGACTATGAGAGCGCAGAGCTTTGACTGCAAGCCTTGTTGCAAGGACTAAAGCATTTTGTATCAGACTTCTTGCACACAACACAGCAACGTGTTAGTGTTGGAACCAAATTACAGGCTCCTCATTCCCAGATGAATACTAACAAAAGAGTTTGGTCTCATTTTTTCTATATATATATGACATGATTTCAGAGTCACAGCTTCATTTGGAAAAACAGAGTGCGCTTCTAAGGCTGATCTTGCTTAGTTGCTAAGTGCCTGGGGATTAAGACATTTGCATGGAAGACTGGGGTCTGGGTGTTTTCAGACTAAACTCCAGGACTCCTCTCCTCAAGGGGAATGAAAAGTGCACAGCAACCCTATCTTCCTTTTCCTGGATGCATAATATCGATCTATTATGTAAAGTGCCTCCTCTGAATGAGCTTTATGCTGAATTCTGTGCTCTCCATGCAGGATAGGTATGTCCTGAGTCAATCGACTGACCTCAAATTCTTCAGGGATTTCTGTTCATCCCCCAGATCCTTGAGATGCATGAAGACAAGTAGTTTAGCCCATCAATTCTGGCTAGACTTACTAACACAAGTTCACATTTGTATGGAAAATGGTTGAGGTTTTTTGTTTGGTTTTGGATTTTATCTTGAACATCTAAATACCTATTGAAACACTCTTCAGAATTCATTTCTTTAGATTTTAACTAGATTCTGTTAGTTTTTTCTTTAGAAATCATAATTACTTTATGAAGCAGGAATAGCTATGTATCTCTCTGTTGTTTAATGACATTCCATAGTAGGAGCTGTTTTAACACAAAATTTTAAAAAAATTAATATCTTCATGCCCAGTAGTTCTTACCACTTTGGGTTTAAGGCAAATTAAATTTCTAAGGGTAGGGTTTATATCTATTGTCAGAAATCAATGTATTCAGATGCATCAGGTACCCACAGTGATTGATCTCAACAGTTTAGGTACTTCTAGGATGGGATGGTTCCTGGGAGTACAGCTCTCTTTTAATTAACTATAGAAGGATCCTGACCTGCTTGAATGAGATGTCTAAACGTATAGATGGCTCCTATCAAGTGGGATTACTGCCACTCGAAAGTGGATGATTTGTATAGGTCTTTTCCCTGGCTGCTTTTCTTCGAGTGTCTCATGGTTAGTACTTATCACCTCCGACTCAGATCCATATTTTTATTTTTTAGTGCTTAAACTGTAGTGGCACATATGACTCTGACTCCAAGATTTCCATGCACAACTTACTTTGCTGTGTATTTCATTAACTTAATCCTTTTCTACTTTTCCATCTGTCTCCAACTTCAGGACCTATCAGGAAAAGTCTCTTTCAAATTAATAAATGTCCCAACAGCAGCACCAATTTTAAAATCACCTTTCACAATATATAAATACACCTGTGCATGTTCTACATAGTATGATTTTTTTTCAGATTTTGCTTTGGCAGCACAGCACAACTGTATAATCCCCAATTAAAGTATTCAATTGCCAGGAATTTCTTTAATATAATCTGCTTCACTAGAAAGTTGAGCACACCTCTTTTACCTTTTGTTTATTGTCATGATTGTACAGCAACTCAGCTATTTTAGTCAGACCCTAAGGCCCTTCTCTAGAAATGAAAGAAGATGAAAAGACTTTGATGATAGGTACTGAAGGTGAATGTTTCCTAATTAACTTGCATTGAATGCCAGAGGAGATAAGGTAATGTTGCTAGTGCTGACTTGACTTCCATAGGAAAGATCTCATGTAGTATTATTAAACTTTGACCTTTGCTGTTTGTATCTTTTGACCTGAAGAAGTCAATGCATAAAGTCAATCCAGTCACAGTACTTGAAGAAATCACAACTTAATGACATGCTGTGACATTCAGCTAAAGAAACTTTGTTAAGCAGAAGATGAATTTAAACAAACTATGAGAAAAATATATCAGTAGATGTGAATTAAAGAGACTAAAGTGGACTACATAATTTAGCATGGTAACATTACCATAGCTCAAAGGCTGTTATATATGTGCTAAAGCTTTTATCCACCTCTTTCTTAGGCATATTCTGAATTAAATTTTATTGTTAAAAGCTAAAGAAAATGCTTTTTATTTCTCAGAGCATATTGTTTTAACTTAGTAAAATTAATTTTGTGCACAATAAACAATAATAACCAACGCTGCTTAAAATCCACTGCTTTTTTATGTGGAATTTCAAACATGACTGTCAGGGTATTAAATTGCTCACGTGTTACATAAATACGTTTGCATATACAAAGCCTGAAATAAGCACATATATATTTATATGTGTGTGTGAATACATAAATAAATATGTAAGGTATAACTTAGACTTTATTTACTCTGTAGTCTGTACTCTGCACTCTGTTTTTTATAGAACAGGCAGCACAACAGACCTCAGATGAAACAAAATACATATAGACTTTTCTGTTACCACGCTTTATGTTTTTGTGCAAAGTGAAAGCATGTGGTAGAAAACTTTACTGGTAAGTGAATTGTCAGTAAGTTTTTGACCGTTCTGGAATTTTTTGTGGGAGTACTTTCACTGATACAGAAAACGAAAAAGGAGTTCGGTCACGCTATTTCAAATATGACACAGCCAACATTTTGGGTGCAAAAAGATAAGTGAATGTTTGTAAAAAATGATCCAAACTTATCCTTCAAAGCCCCCTTACCTTTCAGTATCCAAAATATTGTTTACTCTTACCAACAAATGTAGATATTTCAGTTGTTACATAATGAGAATGTTCTACTCTAATGCCCCAAACACTTCCCCAGTTTTTTTAATAAATTCCATAATATTATTATTACTTGTGAAATAATTCCTGTTTAAAAGTTTGTAGTGTTGAGGCAAGTTATACTGATGAATGCAAGAAATATTAGACTTAAAACTGAACGGTGGTATACAAACCAAATTACTTTTCATGTTTTTTAATGGCAGTGTTAAAATAAAGGAGATTTCTTGTTAACTTCCCTAATATCTTGTGGGTGTTTCATAAACTATTAAGTTCTATACTATGTTGTTATTGATTAACTTTCATCACCTCTTATTCAAGAGCACTCTAGGTTACTGTTAAAATGACTGTATAAACCTATGGATAACAATATCTTATTTTAAATACTAAAAACAGTATATAAAAGCATTGCCTCTCAGGCACTGATTTTCCCACCAAAGTTAGATGCTCTAATTTCAGTTCACCTCTGTTTTAAATAATCTCTTGGAGAAACATTCTCCCCATCCCAAACTTTCCATATACATTTTAAGCAGTCAGAACACCTTCCAAAGCTGGGTAATCAGCTTCTTCATGCATATATTTTTTTTATAGCTACTCTCCCAGTATTCTGTGCTCTGCTATCTACAAACTGTAAAGTTCATGAATTCATCAAAATTATTAAAAAAATCAAATTGTTGTAAAAAACCTATACATATAAACCTGTATTGAAATATTTCTATTTCAGCTTGCATTCAATATATGGTCTGTTACTTTAGAAGGAGTGTTATTTCAAACTATTGTATTCATTAATGCTATATGATTACCCAGATGCTCCAGAGAGAAAACAAAGTCACCTCTGTCACAGGATTACACGTGAGAAATTTTAGGCAGACTGAGTATTTACGATGCAATTAGATGGGTGTCAACTTCCTGCCTTTGAGAGCTGCCTTTTATATCCTTAACTAGGGAGAAATCACTGTGCTGATAATAACTGTCTATCTTGGCATCAGACTTTCAAAGAGTACTGTACTATATAATCCCTCACATTAGTCTTTAGGAAATACGACAGTATCACAACAGATGGTTTATGGCCTCATAGAGAGGAGTAAAATAGTTTATCAGTATTCCTTTCACAGAATTTACAGCTGAGATGTCAACCTCCAAACCACATGCATAAATGAGGGTAATTGTACCAGGAAACCTTTTTGCTACCACGCCTAGAAAGAGCGTTGCCAAACCAACACTCGGGACGCTGAAGGAGAGGCTTGAGGCCGCAATAATACTTGCATGTATTTTTGAAAGCAGTTGGTGATACAGCGTGCTGGTTCTACTCGTCCTTAGTCACGGACCTCTCTCTAAGCACCGTCAGAAATGTCCCTTTCAATGTAACATATCAAAGCTATTGATCGTTTGAACAAAGGACATCATTCTGTCAGCACTTCCTTACTGAGGCAATTTCTAAAGAAACATTACTGTCTTTTGATTATTTGCTTTCCTAAAAAGACAAAGGAAGCATATGTGGACACTTCTAGGCAGAAATTTAAATGAAGCATCAAATCAGAAGGAACATAGCTTCCCTCTTAGCAGCTGCTAGATGGCTTCTGGTCCATCAGGGCCTCTAATATGGCCCTTTGGAATATAATGCAATGGGCCTGAAGGCTTTGTGGACACAATCTCAGAATCACACATACAAGGGTGCCCATGCAGGGTGACATTTTGGCTTATACCTGTTACTGTGATAGAATGGAAAGGTGCATCTCCTCACTCCCAATCACTGCTCTTGTGATTTTCTCAAACCATAAAATATTAATACTAAATACTTTAGAAAAGACACATAGCTTTCTAATGGCATTTTCAAATCTCAAGATGGAAGCAGCATGCATTTTAACCACAAGGAAGAAGTGCAAAAATCCAATTTCTACACACTGATTTGAGTGTGATGGTATTTGTAGTTTCTCTCATGAACTGGGAATATCACTTTATTGCGTGATGTCTTACCATCATCCTTGTCAGGTACAATGGTAATTCGAGTGCTTGGGAAATCTGTGCCAATTCTTCCACCCATTGGCATGCTCAGCAAAACATCAAAGGTCTCAGCCTCTTCATACAAGGAATCATCTATGATGACGATCCGACACGTTTTTTCTCGTTCATCTTTGTCAAAACGTAGAATGCTGTTGTGATCCTCAGGCCTGGATATGTAGTCAGAGTAAGAAAGTACAGAGGTCGGGGCAGTGCCAGATGCTGTTCCTGTGGCATAAAAAAACCCCAGTCACTATACATACCATGGTTATAATGAACCCCTCACAGAGGTTGAATTTTATTTTCACTTCTGTTTACTTGGACAAACTACTTGTGTGTATGATGCAATGCAAGCACGTGGCTCCTCAAATTCATTTGCAGTTTTCCAGTCAGAAGGAATACTGTAGTCTGTCACAAGAAACACAGACTGACAAAGGAGATGCTGTGAGGATTGCCAGTTAACTCCCTTAGTATATTTTACCCATTAAAGATATCAGTGGACCAGAAATTAACTGTAACAGAATCTGATGAAAACAAATTATTTTGTTTCCAGATCACCTCACCAAAAATATTGCTTCATCTCTGCAGATGAAAAATAATAATAAAAGCACAGGTGTAGAGAACCCATGCTCTGCATGGATATAATTAATAGATAGATGAAAGGCAGATGAAGGAGAAGCATGGCAATTAAGCAATATTATTTTATACTAATTTTTTCAAGATAAAATAAAATAAAGTATATCCTGAGCAATCACTGCAGTTTTCAGTTGTTTTCAGTGATCACTTTCAGATATATGGGGCTGCATCTAAAAATCTTGCAAAAAGATAAAGAACACAGATCCTCTTCACCTCCTAACAAACAGCAGAAATTTGGAACATGATAATTTTTCAGCTGTATTCAATAATACTCTAAGACAGATTACAAAGATGAATACATTTCCAGTTGAATCTGAAGATATTTAGATGACAAAGAAATTAACAGAGTTATAAACAATTTTATTATGCAATAGACGGAACAATTCGTATTGCTTTTCTGTCTGTCTTCCATTTTTGCCTTTTTTCTTCTATGGTAGATTCTGTTACCTTGTTGTGTGTAGCAGATAACCATCAGTTCCTGGCTCACATCTCCACTTCTTCTGACTGGAATAAATAATTCACCAACATCTTCTTCAATAGTATAGGTGGACTGAGGGATAAAAACAGTTGATTCTGCAAAGAACAGACACATTTTTATGTAGATTTATGGCTTCATAAAGTCACCTGTAAAATAGCTAGGAACATTTTAGCATATTCTAAAGTGCAACAAATAACCGTGTTTATGAGCAGTGGCGCTAAATTTAAAGAAAAACTTGGAGGGTGAGAGAAGTAGAATTTCTTAGTCTTTCAGAAATGGAAAAGAAAATCAGATCATTAGGTCTGAATTCACAAGTCCTTACTAAGTAGTCTCTGAAGTTACTAATTTACTTACCTAGGGTTAATGGTGCAGACAGTGTTTGGAGAATTTGTCCACAAGGTCTATATTTTTATTATTTCCATGGTATTTCATTATTAACTGTTAATCACAGAAGTATCAATAGCATAGCTCACACATAGGCAGTGGTTCTGCAACGCCATTCTTTAACTTACTGCATCAAGATAGCCATGAAAATCATTTGGCTTTGAGGATGTAAAATGGAGCTCCTGCTATCTTACTCTGACTTGGACATTTGACCTGAACTGGCTACACGTCTATACTCCTGTTTTATTCAAAGAAGACCTAGCCAATAGAGTCAGTGGAGTCTGGAGAGCAATCTTATCCTAAAATGTATTGGATTAAAGAATGTCAGATCTATTTTTCAGGGAAAAAACACTACAATGCATTTTAAATTCCTTGATTATTTTATACTCATATAAACAAATTGCTGAGTTTTATACTGTTACTAGGATTCAGGATAAATTTTGTTCTCTCAAAAACTCAAGAACAAAAGGTGGATATGCATATAATTATAAAGCACCTTTACAGTTTCATTAATATGTCTGCAGCCCAAACAGTATATAATTCTATATAATGTCAAATCAAATGGTATCAATTAACTGCATAAAGAAAATCTTTCCATTATTTCAGAGCACTTTGGTAAACAATGTTCTGAAAATTGTGACTTCTTTGAAAATATGTTCCAGGTTTTTTTTCTCTAACTGGAAAATACTACTAGCTTAGTAGTCAGTACTAAGCTGACTTAAGGTCACAAACTTGCCTTAAAAATGCTGTAATTCAGGTTTGATAAGATCTAGACACTTTCATTATTCCAGCAAGTCAAAAATTCAATGTGAAAAACACCAAATCCCCACCTTTTTGTTTTAAAGTAAAACAAAAGGTAACACTAAAAATCCCCAATTTGTTCCTTTTATTTCTCCCTTTAGAATTAAGGTGACAAAATTAAAAACTCTATCCATCAAAAAAAAAAAGCATGAATCCGATTTGTTCTGTTTTCTCTCTCTCTCATAATTATCCAACTAGGAGTAAAATGACACTATAAAAATTTAACAGACCTTATGAACAACATAAGAGCTCATAGGAGAATGATCTACATCATCTCAGCTGGTATAAGAAAACACATCCTTATGCAATCACTTTCTGGAATAAAGCAATAACTAATGTGCCATACATCAAGGGGCTGGTACAGCTTTCCAAACAAGCTCACTGTTTTGGTGCTAAGATTATACCATTCAAATCAATGAATTTTTAAATCATTTTCACTGGAAGCAGAATAAAACTTTTGATGGTTCCTATTCAGTTAGCGTCTGAACTTGTTATACCCTGCACTTTAAAAGATTATTAGGAAACCCAGTCCTTCCCCTCAAAGTTCTCTCTATATTTTTCCTGTAGATATTCCTTGATTTGCAGCTGTGCATTTGATTTTCTTCTATGCAACTTCACTTCTTGTATAATTACTACAAATTTTCTGAGACTGTAAAAGTTTTATCTTAATATAAGAAATAGACAAAACTATCAAAACTATTAAGAAGACTCAGACCGTTATCTTGAGTTGTGCTATCTCACTGATCACAGAAAAGACAGATTTAACACATTATCAAGTAATTTCTTTGTCTCATACATACTGCTTTTCAAGTCAAGCATTATTTTTCTCAGTGTCTAAATATGGATGTCAGATAACCTCTGGTTTAACTTGCATTTGTAACTAGGAACTAAGAAACCTCTGCCCACCCCCCTCCCCCCGCCCCCAGTCCTCTTCAAATGTTAATAAGGGAAGACCATATAAAACAAGCTGCTACAGTCATCCAATACTTGAAAGATTTTTCAAGTAGAGTTTTGTGTGACCATGGCTCATGGGTTCAAGTGTATGGATGCAGCTGAAAAGCAAAGCAACCAGAGCACATTCTACTTCTTTTTTTTTAAATCAGCTTCTTTCTTCATGTACGTTTAACCATAATTTTGTTTGTTCTTGACACAGCTTGTGCTGTACTTGGTCTAGTCAACTTTACCCTTATCGAGCTTCTCAGCTTGATATTAAGGCCTAACTGATGCAACTAGTCTGCTCCAAGTCTCGAACTTGCTGGGAAGAACCAGCCTGGACTTTCCTGTACCATCCTCTCCCACATGAATTATCATGGCAGAGTAAACCAAGTCACCCTCCAGACACCTGTGCAGATACACTCTGTTTGCAAACACATTGAACCAAAAACCTGTTACACCTAGAATGAAAACAAAACTAAACAACAACAAAAAAAAACCCCTAGAAAAAATATGTTGAGGAAAAATGCAGCTATTTCATCAAAGCATGCTAATTTAGTTACATATTCATGAATCACTTAAAGTAATAGAGGACAAACGACTACCCAATGCCCAAGCCTGTCTTCAGAAATATTCTGAGGAAAGGTAAATTTTACTATCCACTGTTACGCATAGCATTTGCCCTCCAGTTTATCTTTTGGTATATGCACATATTGGCATTATAGTTCTAGAAAGGTTCTTACCGTCTCCTGGGTCAATAATTTCCACTGTGGATACATCAGGAAATTCCAGAACTGCCATGACAGGCTCAGAAAGAACAATTTGAAAGGACTCAGACTGTTCATGTTCACCATCACTCAAAATCCGTACTCGCCATGTAGCTAAGGTTTGGCCAGGATTAAACTGCACCTGCTTCTGGGCTTTTCCTCTGAAGTCTTTATCTTTCTTGGCAGTACCATCTTTCGTGCTAATACCTGCCAAATCAGAAATTCAGGTCATTAATAACATCACTAGCATTTTTTCTCTCCTTATGTCATCTTTAAAAAAAAAGAAGTTTTAGAAAAAGATACTTTTCACAGCCTGAGAGTGTTCAACCCAACCCCATTACTCTTGATCAATTTCATGTTGGTGTCACACACAGAGGTGGAAGCACATCAATTAACATTATGAAAGCCAGTTTAGACAGAATTAGCCAAAGCAATGCTAACTACTAGAAAAACTCTACATTCTCTGGGGTTACAGCCAAGCTTCCATTACTCTGTAGTTCAACTACAGATACCCAAAAGGGCCAACAGATTTCTTCCCTTTTTAACATTCTCAGTTCTTTTCTGATACAGAACATCTAAATAACATCCTGCCCGAAACCCTCAAAAATATTTATTTCTCTTAGAAAAAATGAAGACACACCTGGAAAGTTCAGCCTTCAAGGGGAAAGCTAAGGAAAACACAAAGGCACAAAGCAGTAAAACATATGGAGTAAGGATGAAAAGAAGATGTAAAATCTGAACCATTGCGGTCATTCCCACTACAATAAGCATTTTTAAAAATTATTATCCTCTTGTTTCAGTGTTTGCATAATGACAATCATTAAACTCAAGCCAAGTTGAAACTCCAAAGCCATGGGATAAAATCCAATACAGCTTATCCCACTGAGACAATGCAGACCTTACAGCCTTGGACCCAGACTGCTTTAAGATGTTTTTTCATGAGCGTTTTCCTCCCAGTTTAAGGCTGTCTGACAGGCCCTCATGGAAATTATACAGTCCTTCAGAACTATCTCCGACTCATGCATTTGGTGTCTGTTTGAATGCCACTGTACCACTCAAAGCTTAAAGGTCTTTCTCATGTTTTCAGAAAAAAATTAAAACTTCTCCCTTCTCTGCCTGTTTCTTCTGACTGTATTGCTTAATGTATTAAAACATATCACCTTTCCCTAAAAACCTCACCTTTCCTGCTTTCTACTTGTGCCTCCTCCTAAGTCATAGCCAATATTTTATATAACCTATAAACCTTCAGCCCTTTTGGCACTGCACATGGACCAGAAACACCAGTAAGCATCTTAACCAATATCTTTTATGTTCTTTCCAGGTCTGTAATTCCATTTTGCAGGATTAAGGTAGTCAGAGGCAAGTTATTCAAACTGCTTTTTTTGGATTTTGAGTCAGCTCAATTCAGAAACTGAACTTGGATCCATAGGTAGAAAATTCTGTAAACACTCTATTTGAAGGATCAGAAGCCAAATCAGTATCAGTAATTAATTTAAACCACACATCTTTAACTTTGTATTTCATCCATCTCTTTATTCTTTTACTTTCTTTAAAAGAAATATATTATCAAAGTTATTTCATTGTTCAAAACAGAGCCTTTTAAGTTAGATCCAGTTAGTTAGTGCCTATAACCCTTAAATCTCATGCCAAAGTACACCTCAATACCTGAAACTCAGATTCTTATTCAGAAAGAGACTTGAACAGAAACCTGATTTCTAAGCATGAGCTTGTACTCCATGCCAGGAAAATGCTTACATATCTCTGCAAAACCAGCTTCAAATTGAATGCCTTTTCTAAGCAGTGTAAGCTCACCATTGGTTTTGACATGAAATTGTACAAGGATAACGATGCCCTCTGGTCCAAATGCATCACTAGGAAGAGAATGGGAACAGATCCATAAGCTAGAGATAGGTGTGAGGTTGCAGAATGTGATAACTTTCACCTTTTCACTCCCCAGACACTGCAAACAGCTTTCAACATCTCCTGTATCAGCCTCAGTTGACTGCCAACATTCACTGAAGAGAATGAGCCTAATACTTGTAGCTGCTAATCAGACCAGATCACAGTAGCCTTCCTGGAAAATGATCTATGTTTATTGTTGTCTTTCGAATTGCTACAACTGTATTTTCTCATTACAGGAAAAACAAAATCTGGATGGGAACTGTATTCTGTGAAACAAATACAACAACGGTATCAATCAAATCAGAGAAACAAGGACTAGGTCTTGGGTTGTTAAGTCAAAAATTAATTGCAGAAGACAAAAAAAAAGGTGAAAATTTCATCATATAACTAAAGAAATCATACACTTAGAATAACAAGAGATACTTGCTTTAATAAATAAACATAATCCTTTGAATCTAGCTTGCTTGCTATGAAACACTAGTAAAAGGATATAGCTGTATTGATACATTTTATCAACTAGATGGTCAATAGAAGCAATTGATAGGGTTAAAATTGAACTTACTTATAAAAGAGGTTTCTCCCAGGTAACCTCTCCTTTTAAGAACAACATCAAGATATTTTGAGTCTTCATTTACTAAATAATACTCCTTTTCTAAGGAGATCCATGCCCAGTTTAGGCGAAAATGTTGATTCTTCAGCTTATTGCCTCCTGCAAAACAAAATAAGATATATTTAATAGTTTTTCTTTTTTGTTAAATACTGCTTTGTCTTTTGAGGTTAATTTAACCTGTATCCTGGGTAAGATGTATATCTTAGCTGGACATTACAATCCAAAGGTTTTAAAGATTTAAAACTAAGAAATAACAAGTAAAGAACTCAACCATGATACATTTGGTACATATAGGAATAATTTTTTTCTTAGATGCATACAAACTAGTTACATTCATTCCAGAGTATGTTAATTTTCTTCTTGTTCAAGGGAAAAAGAAGAAGAATTAATGAAAATATATTTGGGATGCCTTTTTTAGAAATTACAAAAATTTTGGATGGTCCAAGTTTCTGCAGAACTGTATTGGTATTTCCAAATAACACACAATGAAGGACATCACACAGAACTTCCTCAATACAATCACACTGCCAGAAGCACTGGAAAACCCTTAGTATCCTGAGACGAGATGATACCTACCATCTTTTAGACTGCACTCACCCACATATCCTTCTTCTAAAACTCAGTATTTTGTTCACTAAATCCATCAATTTCTGCTCTTATTGGTTTAATATTTATGCATCAGCACTGTATGATTTTAGGAACAGCTTTCACGTCTTCCTAGGAAATGGTTTCAACAAGATTAAGTATTCCTCATACAGTATACAGTTTATAGCTATGCTGATGCCCTCCTAAGCTTGCAGCTTATAACTGTTAAGTATGATTGCCTGTGTCACCTAAGAAAATTTAGAGAGATACAAATGCTTACTGGAATTCTCTTAAACTGTTTTGCTATGACCTATCTTCACGATATGATGAATGCCCCCAACTGAGCAAGCTGCTGAGACATGTTTTGAGAGTCAATTTTCAATAGACCAAGAGATGTCCTCACAGTTCTTTTTACACAGGCACAACTGTAGCAGCACGCTCCTGGTGAAGAAAGCATACTCCAGGGATCCTTCCAAGGTCTCTACTGTAGCAGTAGCACAACAGTTTCCCTGCGATCTCACTGAACATGGATGGTTTCTCTGCACTCAAACACTGGGTATTGAAAGCACAGGACAGCAAGCAGTATACTCAGCTGGGGAAACGGAACGGTTAACATGGACCCAGTCACCACCTCTGGCTGGCAGCTGTTGATGGCATTGTCTTTACGTTGAAGACTGTATTTCCTCTTACAATAATCAGAAGAACAGAATCACAGAATCACTAGGTTGGAAAGGACCTTCAAGATCATCAAGTCCAACCATTAATCCAGCACCACCATGTCCCCTAAACCATGTCCTGAAGCGCCACATCCACACGTTTTTTGAACACTTCCAGAGATGATGACTCCACCACCTCCCTGGGCAGCCTGTTCCAATGCCTGACCACTCTCTCAGTGAAGAAATTTTTCCTAATATCCAACCTAAACCTCCCCTGGTGCAACTTGAGGCCATTTCCTCTTGTCCTATCACTAGTTACTTGGGAGAAGACACCAACACCCTCATCGCCACAACCCCCTTTCAGGTAGTTGTAGAGAGCGATAAGGTCCTCCTCAAACAAAAATGCCTATATATTTATCAGCAGACGTAGGCTCCCTTTTTGAAGCCAAAGCAATGCAGGAATACAGGAAGCATTACGCAAAGTTTTGGAAGGGATGATATGGAAGTCATTTAACTCCATCTGCAAAACATTAAGCACCAGCTTAAAATCTGAGCATGTCTCAGCCTAATCTCTCGTTCCCAGCAGAAATGAAGCTGTTGTGTCTACAATTAATGGGATTTACACAACTGTAAAACAACAGGAAATGTTTATTGAAATGGCAGGCTTCACAGAGTTTTTTTTAGTCTGAAAAAGCAATCCAGAAAAAGAAAATGCAAACAGATGGCACTCCAGGGTCCAGTTAAAAATGTTTGGGCTTTTTTTTCAGTTGGAAAGGTGAAGAGAATTGGCATCTATTTCACTGACTATAAACCAAATATTTGTACAACAGACCGAATATCTCAAATCAGGTTAACACATTTCTGATAAAATACAGCATAGCTTTACTTTCTCATGTACAATTTATCTCCATCTGTTCACTGATTTCCACAGTAAAAAGGCATTTCTTGTCATAGTAGGGATTCTGGATACCACAGATTAAAAGGGCATCAAGTCAAGTTCTGTATATCATCCTGTTGGCTGTGTTTATCATTACTCCGGAGAATCCTTAATTTCCATAGCAAGAATAAAATAACCTGTTCAGCTCACTGAAGGCAGATGCTCAGTCAGCAATTGTCTTCTGGGAATGCTGGTTTGTGCAAGAGGCTGTAGTCTGATCTCCTTCCCACAAGGTGCTGCTACAGAACAAGGTTTGCTCAGGTAATCATTGTCTGATACGTGCAAGGAATTCCCTTTAGAAATTAACACTTCTGTACACAAGCGAGTGAATAAAGTAATTCCTCTGAACAGCAGAGAAACATATCTAAGTACTTCAGTTCATTCATGGCTTAATTACTGGAGGAAGAGCCAAGTGGAGGTTGGTTTTCCCCTTCCAGTTTCTTCCGTTCTATTCCTTGAAAGATTAGGCAACCTCTCCATAGGCTTCAAAGATAAGCCTCTGTATTTCTTTATTGACCTATCTACTAGAAATAAACAACAACCATACTTGTGTAATCTCACATAAAGGCAGTGGTACTGTGTAAACAAAATGAGAGAAATGGTTACTGGAATATCACGTTGCACGCCTTGCCTTGCTGCTTTCTGCTCCTTTGATCCCTGCTGTTACTGACAAAGGGGAAGGCTACAAACACATATACCAAAAACGGTAATGAGCACAAGAAAACCAGTGACTACAGTGTTAGCTATAGCAGCACTTGCATTAGGTTAGCCTTATGTCTTCCCACTAGTTTCTTGGGACAAATGCAACATAATATGTCTTGTTCTTTAATTTAGTGAGAAAAGCCATTTGTGTGCCACCCTTGAACACACTGCCCAATTTCAACAAAATTTGACAGAGGGATAAAAGTTTCTAAGATATAAAAGGAATGAAAATTTACTGCCAATTAGAGGAGAGAGAACCTATTAGTATCGCTACTGAGAAAAAATACTGCTGCATGAACTTACTAGAAATGAGAATGTCAGACATTGGAACCCCCCCACCTAAAGGAAAAGCTTCTAGCAGAATTTGTATATTTTTAGACAGAAGAGATTACAGCCATGGGATGGAAAGCAATACGAAATCTGGCATCATTTGTTCTACTGTCCAAAGAACTAAACATTTAAACGTGTTGCAGACACAGGCACACAATCTACAGCTTACTTACACACATGCCTCTTATGTTCCATCTTTAGTGTCCTAAATAGTTCAACCTTAAACGTAATCTACATTTGCACATAATTACTGAACACATCAAAATTACTACACAAGAGAAAAAAACCCAGCTGTTTAAAAGTAACAGTCATATGGAGAAATTTCAGTAGGCAACTACCAAACCAGTTCATTTCTGTCATTGACACTAGGAAAAATGTTGAAGTATCCTGAGTTAGAAATCTAAGGAGAGGATGAAATTTAGGAAGGAAAAAGCACAAGAAAGACAATATGAAAGATTTAATATTGTCTCAATTCCACCTATTTCTTGCTTTCAGCAGTTTCTTTTCATTTTTTCTTAGAGTAAAAAAATAAACAACAAAAACTATTATTTCTAGGGTGCTTCCAGCAAGCCTCCATTTCTACAAGTCTACTTCTGCCCCTGAACTATTGTTCACCTTCTAAAATGTGCAGTACTAAAACCATTAGATTTAGAATTTTAAGAAAATAATACAGGTATTTTAGATCTTGCTTTCTTGATTTTGTGCTTTTTGCATTCAGAGGAAATGTTTTCTAAATTATACAAGCCATTTCGTGGTCCAATGTCCCCAAAGAATAAAACCTGTTATTACTGTTACTATTATTTTTACAGAATTCTGACACAATTGAGCAGGAAGCATACAACAAATACTATCTAATTTCAGTTATTTATTTTTGGGTTAGAAATCCTAAACTGTCTTTACAGCCAAAACCAGGAAAGAAGCACTTTGTAAGGCTATGACTTACTTTAGGCATCTATTTTTGAATGAGATTAGCTGTGCCTCAAAATATGCAGAAATACGTTCATTTTTCCTCAGTAGCTGTTAAAGATGCCTGTCATGACCAGTTACATTGTAGATATTTTTATTATAATCATCTAATGCTGGGTAAGATGAATTCCACCATTCCTGAACTAAATAAAACTGGGCCTTTTCTACATCATAGTAGAGCCAAGCATCAAACAAACATAACGTCTGTAAAGAATGTAAAGAGTATAGCTTTCAGAATTATAAAATATCAGAAACGAAATTGCACATGCTATCTTAATTCGGTTCCCTATTAAATTAATTATCTGCCCTACAATAATATTTCTACAGGCAAATAAATTTTGCATTGCTCACTAGCACTTCCCTTGGGCATAGTTAAACATTTAGCTGCTAGGCAAATAATTAAGGTACTATACCTCAATGACAGCTTTTGTTCCTTTCCCAGGCAAGTGCTTGTAATACAAATACATCAGAAGTCTGGAGAGGGAAGTCTTTACTAGAGTGCTTTTAAAACTAAACAAAAGGAAGGAGGGCCGTGTTACAATGAGGTAAGTCCAAAGTAACTTTGCTTATATATCAGTGAGATGTGGTTGGCAAGATGTTGCTATATTGACGCATGAAAACCTGTTTCTTGAATTTTGCCAGAGATCAGAGTGCACCAGTGCTAAATCAGAAGGTGCTAGACAGGACGTGGTGCAGTGAGACATTCATGAGAAATGAGATGGCAAGAATTGTGAGAGACAGTCATAAACTTTGTAAGGAGCTAAAGCTAAGGATCTGGAGATCTGGAGTCACAAAGTGACTTCCTGACTGACTGAGGCTGCTGGGGACAATACCCTCTGAAAAGATTTGCCTGAATATTACAAGTCAAAGATGGATGTCACCTAGAATTGGTCTTTATAGGAGTCCTGTCAGCAAATTGATCA